CTGTGGTTTGAGTCCCGGACCCAGTGGATTACACTCATGCTGGGCGCGTGTGCGTGCGTGCCCAAGATCCTGAGAGGAGTATGGAGGAGAAGGGATTGTGGCGTGGCCATCCCCCATGGAGGGGGGGGTGATTTCTCACTTTCTGTCTCTCTGTCTCTCTGTCTTTCTGGTGAGCGCACGTGCCCTATAGCGAAAACCTCTCCAAAAAAAAAAAAAAAAAATAGAATCAATGTCAGGGCCGGGGGAAAAAAAAAAAAAAAAAATAGTATCAATGTCAGGCCAGTGGGTGGCACTTGGCTGGACCCACATGGCTGACTCAACCATTTGAATCCCAGGCCCAGCAGTTGAAAAGCAAACAGGGAGCCTGTGTATTCATGCCTGCACAGTGAGAAATGGAGGAGAAAGGATTGCAGTGTGACCTTCACCAAGGGGAATGCTTTCTCATTTTACTTCTCTGTCTCTTTCTGGTGAGCATAAACATGATCTAGCAAAATTTTTTAAAAATTAATAATAATAATAGCATCAATGTGATTATATTAGGAGATATCAAACAGTTCATGGAAAAAAATGGAATTGAAGTATGAGTTTGGGGCAAACTGGTGGTATCATGGTTAAGGAATATGGCTGACTGTCCAGTTTGAGTCCTGGACCTAGCAGCTTGAGAAATAGGCTTCACGCACATGTGTGCAATCCCAATATCCAAAAAGGAGGGACAGATGGAGAAAGGATTGTGATGTGACCATTCCCAATGGGGATTGCTTTTTCCTCTCTCTCTTTCTCTTTGTCTCTCTCTCTGATGAGTGCATGTGCCCTATAGGAAAAGAAAGAAAGAAAGAAAGAAAGAAAGAAAGAAAGAAAGAAAGAAAGAAAGAAAGAAAGAAAGAAAAGAAAAGAAAAGAAAAGAAAAGAAAAGAAAAGAAAAAAGAAAAGAAAAGAAAAGAAAAGAAAAGAAAAGAAGACGAGACGAGATGAGACGAGACGAGACGAGACGAGACGAGACTATGTTGCTCACAAACTAAATATTTACTATCTGGCCCTTTATACATCAAGTTTCCTGACTGAGGATCTATTTAATCAACCATTCTGTTTTCCTTTTTATAAAGAAGTGTCATTTCTCTTCCTCTCTTTACATCCTTTCTGTATTATCTGCTCCTGGACGTTTCCATATTAATTATCTCCTCTGCTTTTCTTTAGCTCCTCTATTCCACTGAACTCTTCAAATTTTCTTATTTTTTAAAGATTATTTTTTTAATTTTAACTTTATTTATTATTATTTTCCAATTTGACCAGAGAGAGAGAAAAGGAAGGTGAGAAAGGAAGCCCCAGGTCCGGGACTCAAACCATGGTTGGCCACATGGGAGTACAACACCTTTAACCACCATGCCACCTGCCAGCCCCTCCTTCAATTATTCTGAGAATATGCAAGCCTCCAAAAATAAAATGACCCATAGAGCCTAGTGATTAAGGATAGCCAGATCTACATGGTCGCATACAGTTTGAAGCTCAGCCCCAGTGGCTTGAAAAACACTCTGGGCATGTTTGCATGCATGTCCCAATCCCAACAGGATGGGGGAATGAAGGAAAAAAGATTGTAGCATGACTATGCCACGTTAAAGTAGGGGATGCTTTCTCTCTCTTCCTCTCCCTGTCTCTCTGTCTCTCTCTTCCTCTCCCTGTATCTCTGTCTCTCTCTGGCAATCATATGTACCCTCTGTCGATTATTCTGCTGTCTGCCATTCAATTCCTCTCCCTCCTTTTACCAACGAAGTTATGGAAAGTATAGTATTAATATGTACTCAATGCTTGTACTACCTGGCTATTTCCCCAACTACAGAATCTAACTTCAAACTGCTCTCTCAATATTTATAATACTTAAAATATTTTCTCTGGGCCAGGGGTGGCATAATGGTTAAGGGTGCTGGACCAACGGCAATTTGAGTCCCAGACCTAACAACTTGCTTTCCCACTTTCCCTCTCCCTCTCCCTCTCTCTCTCTCTCTCTCCTTCTCCCCCTCTCTCCCTCTCTTCCTCTCTCTCCCCCTCTCCCTCTCTTTCTCTCTCTCTCCTCTCTCTGGCCAAATTAAAATAAAATAAATAAAGATAAAATAATCCTTTTTAAAAATATTTTCTCAATTCCTTTTATTAACTAAATGAAAAGCCTTGTTCCTGACCTGCATCTCATCCTTCTAAAAACTTTCTTGCCATATCATTGTCTTCTTAAATTTTATTACATGTTCAGTATAGAACAATAGAAAATTCTTTTCCAAATTTTCTTATCTCTGCGTTCTCATCTATGCCACTTCATCACTTTAATTAACACCTTCATGAGGATGACTACATCTCCAATCACCATTTCTATTACAAATTTTATTTTCCAGTTGTCAATGTGCAGAGGCAATTTTTCTACAAATTCAATTGTCTAAAGCTGAATTCATCACCTGCTCATCACAAAGAGCAGCTTCTGTGATTATCATTTTGATGTTGCATAGTCATTGAAATTCAATACTTATAAGTCACCTCTTCATTTTCCTACTTGCTTGTGTATATACAGACACACACACACACACGCACACAATCATTGCCAGCATTTAGATGTAAACATTGCATAGTAATAGAAAATATGATTCCATGTCATAATAATCATTGGGAAAGTACCATTTAGCACAGTATGAGCCAAAAACTTCAGAACTTCAGAAAAAAAAAAGATTCTATCTTCTCTTAGTACCTAAAAATTGAAATTGAATTTTTTCACATTTGAAAAACAAGTATTTGCTATGATACTAAAGCATTGAGAAATATCATGTACAATAGAATCCCTAAATTTCAACAAGCTATACAATTTCTTTGTTCTTTTACTATTTACAATGTAAAGAAATAACAAATGATTCTTTTTATTTTATTTCTCTAGTTTCAGGATGCTCTGATAGAAAAAGTTGTATAAATCTTCATTTTGAGCAAAATACTACTAGTTTTATATTATACAAAATACATATGAATACTTATATGTATTGTCTGATTTCATTATGAATGCTTTTAATATCGCAAAGTTATTGTTTTCAGACTTGCTTTTAAGAGTGGATTTTTGAAAGAAAATTGTCAAAGATACAGTTACAATAAGTAAAAGAGTACCTGGGTTAGCTCATAGGATATCTACACCTAAAGGTAAATTACTCTTAGATGTGGTCAAATGTAAACTGTATATTAGATCGCATTAGAAAAGAACACACTAAGAAGCAATCAAATCTCAGCTCTTCAAAACATCTACATCTTTCCCCAACACACAAAAATTTCTAGCATTATCATTCATTATCCTTTAGTGTTTTCAATGGATCATAATAACAATGATGTATAGTACAATAATACTGAGATAATGTTTTGGCATATAATTTACAACTGTAAACAGAAAAGAATTCAAGAAGAAAGTAAAATGGTAGAAGGATCTGAAGAGGAGAAAGGACTGTCAGATTCAAAACTATTTTCCGTAAAATGAACTAAAATGTTAAGATGTCAATATATTACTATCACTCTACAAATACAGAAACTAATATTCATAAAACTTGTGCCCTATAAAATGTAAAATGTACTTTCAAAATAAAGTTTTAGTTCCTTCATAGATTTATTAAGTAAATACCAATTGAGCCCTTACCATGTTCTAAGCACTATAAACACTAAAGACACAATGTTAAATAATACATAGCCCCTACTCCCACATGGTCGACCATGGTTTGAATCACGGAACTAGCAGCCTCTTCCTCTCTCTCTCTCTCTCTCTCTCTCTCTATTTCTCTCTCTCTCTCCCACTCTCCCACTCTCGCTCTGTCCTTCTCTGGTCAAATTTAAATAAATAAATAAATAAATAAATAGATTTAAATGAAATAATTCTAAAAAAAAAAAAAAAAGAGAGAGAGAGAAAGAGAAAGAGAGAGAGAAAATAAATAAATAAAAGAAAATCATGCTGGACGTGTGTGTGCATGCCCAAAACCCCCAGAGGAGAGTGGAGAACAGGTTATGGTGTGGCCATCCCCCCAGGGGGTGATTTCTCACTTTTCTCATTCTGTCATTCTCTGTGAACACACAAAGGGCACCTATGGCAAAAATCTACAATAATCATAACAACAATAACAATAATATATTAGTAAGATTGTTAAATAACTGAGAAGGTTTTCCATTAAAAAGTCAACTTAGGGCCATCTCTGTAGCACAGTGGTAATTTGTTGCCCAAAATAAGCTGGATCTTACATGGCAAACACGGTTTGGATCCCAGGCCCCATTGTCCTGGAACGCTACACATGTGCGTAAGTGCCCAAGATCCCTCAGGCTAGAGAACTAAAGGAAAGGGACTGTGACCTGACCGACCTGTGGAGAGTGCTTTTCTCTCTCTCTTTCTGTCTCTCACATGCATACACAAGTGCGCTATCATAACTAAAGGAAAAATAAAAAGAGAGAACTATCTGGGCCAGCCCCATTGCCTAGGAATGAAGGGAGCTGGGCTGCACATGGCTGACCACATGGTCTGAGTCCTGAATCCAGCACCTTAGAAAACACGCAAAGTACATGTGCCTAAAATCCTGACAGTGCAGAGAGATGGAGAGAATGGGATTGCAGCGTGACTTCTTCCTCTCTCTGTCTCTGTTTCTCTCTGGGGAGCACATCCTCTGGCAATTTTTTAAGAAAGAGATATCTTTTTGAAAATGTCAACTTAAAACATTATTTCTTTCTTTAATTTTTGTGTATTTTTTTATTAGAGAGAGATTTTTGCCATAGGAAGCATACACTCGCTGGAGAGACAGAAAGCAAGAAGTCTCTCCCAAGGGGTCATGGCTATGCCACAGTCCCTTCTCCATTCTCCTCTTGGGACTTTGGCATACTTGTACATGAGCCCAGCATGAATACTAAGGCACCAGACACAATAAATCTGCCAGTTCTCTAACCTTGTCATAACAGAATTCAACAATCTTACAAGTCTGAAAAACAGATCAAACAGCCACTTTTAAACTTACCTTTTTTTCCTCTTGCAATATTATTACTTCATAAAATCGTGGGATAAATGAGCAAAAATTTTGTTGCTGATCTTTCTTGATGTTAATATTTTCACAACGTAATGTCTTTTCCCTTTTAAAAATTTCAGACAGAAACTGAGTTCTCTATTTTAAATATATACATGTTTATATAAGCAAAGAGAATATTTTTACAACATCTTCTGTTTTAAAATATGTGATAATAAGATTAATTTTACCTCCAACCTAACATTATAGCTCTGACTCACACTGACCGAGAATGTCTTCTAAATCCATCAAGCAGTTAGAAGACTGGAGAGAAAAGGCTAGGAATCAGGAGGAGAACTCGAGGCCAGTTTAATTAAGAAGGAATATTTTAGTACACGGAACCATGGGCTACGTAATCAAATAGGGCTCGTTTAAATTCTGCTTTTTCCATTGAAGAGCCACATGACCCTTGGATCAGAGGTGTAACAATATGAACTACACAGAGACTTGTGAAGATGAGACATGGTGACACATGTAAAGTCGGTTCAGGAATTATCTCATGAAGAGCAATGGCTTTCTCAGAGGTTACTCCAAAGCTTAATACTTCCTGGAGAGGTTCAAGCTAACTTTTCCTTTCTTAACAGCACAGTGTAGTCTAGATTATTAGAATATTTTGTAGTCAAAAACTACATTAAAAGAATATTATTTTTTCTACTTACTGGATTATATCATACTGTCCAGGACCAGGACCTGACTTTTTAGTTAATTCTCGTCTTCCTGAAGAGTTGCCAAAATGTATACCTTTGTATTTCAAAGTTGCATTGGAAACACCCTTAAAAAAAAAAAAGAACAACAACAACAAGAACAATATGAGATACAGTTTAAATAAATCATGAAACAATGTTTATCTTTGTTTCAGTCTAAACCTAAGCAAGGGGTTCCACAGGTAAATGCTACTGTGTTCTTTGACAGACACCACACCAAGTTATCACATTGTGCCCCTTCTCACTTCTGAGTCAGGATTCCTGCAGAAGTGCCTCTGACTATAGCATTTCCTCAACCAATAGGAACAGCCTTGCCCTTGGCAGTACACCCAGAAATCTGAAACCTTAAGGGCAATGAAAATTAATTACTCATTGTTTAAAATAAAGGGTGACAGACTGTATTATTTAGGAGATGAAAATGCCTATGAAAAACCTTAATTAAACAGATTGAGAAAATGCAAATGTCACTAACAGATACTAGATAACGTCTAATAACCTGGTATTTACATACCCTATAGCAAAAACCTCTCAAAAAATAAAAATAAAAATTCATGAGCCAGCCTGTGCCCTGGTGTTTAAGGCAACTGGATGCCACATGACTAGCCATGAAGTTCCTGTCTTGGACATGGCAATTTGAAAGACACACCATGGAAGTGTGGGTATGCCCAAAATTCCAACAGGAGGGAAAAATGAAGGAGGAATTGATCCATAAAAGGTGCTTTCCCACTTTCTCTCCCCTCTTCCCTCATCTCTCTCTTTCTCTAACAGTAAGCACACACACACATTCTGACAAATTACAAAAAAAAAAAAAAAAAACTCATGAAAAATTTTCAGAGTAACAATAAATTAAACACTACCCCAATTCATTTTATTAATGCTTGAGAATAGGACTAATCCTCTAATGCCAAAGCAATTATTTGGACATAAGAAATGAATAATCATCTTTCATTCATAACCACTATGATAAATGTCACAGTTAAACATTATTTATAAATAGTGAAGCACCTGGTTCCATCAGAAATTAAAATAATAAAGTATAACCTAATAACAGTAGCTTCTCTTATAGAAATTGCCTTTTTTCACCTAATGCATTCTTTTTTCTTATAAATAATTATTTAATTTTATTTGTTGTTATTATTATTATTATTTCATCATAGAGAGAGAGAAAGTGCGAAAGCAAGCTGGTGGAATGCCTTATCCACCATGCCATCTGCTGGTCCCTTTTTTTCTTTAAGGAGGTTTTTGGCTTGGGGCGTGTGTGGTTACCAGAGAGAGAGACAGACAGACAGAGAGGATGAGAGGGAAAGTGAGAAATCACCCCCTTGTAGGGATGACCATACCACAATCCCTTCTTCTCCATTCTCCTCCTGGGATCTTGGGCTCTCATGCACACGTGCCAGGCATGACTTTCAAGCCTTCGTGTCTGAGAGTCAAACCGCAGTCAGCCACGTGGGAGTCCAGCAATGTAATCCTTATGCCATCTGCTGGTCCCTCTAATTTAGCATTCTTAAATTGAGTAATCATTTAAGATTTTTTTTTTAAATTCATTTTTATAAATAATGGTAGACAATAACTCAAATTATGTTCAACTCATGTCTAAATTCATAGTTCTATTTTTGTTTCTTTTTTTTTAGATTTTTGCTATAGGGTAAGAGCACTTACTGGAGAGAGAGACAGAGAGAGAGGGAAAGTGTGAAATCACCCCATAGGGGCACGGCCACACCACAATCCCTTCTCCTCCAGATTCTCCTCTCAGGATTCTGGGAGCACACATGCAGGTGCCCAGTATATTTTTCAAGCCACTGTGTCCAGGACTTGAACCATAGGGTCCAACATGTGAGATCCAGTCCCTTGACTACCACACCTCCTGCTGATCCCTAAATTCATAGTTTTAAAACAAGCTTGAATTATTGGGACCAGCAGATAGTGTAATGGTTATGTTGCTGGACTCCCACAGTCAACCGTAGATTGAGTCCCAGACCTGGTGGCTTAAAACTCATGTTGGGCACATGGGCATGAATGCCCAAAGTCCCGAGAGGAGAACAGAGGAGAAGGGACTGTGGAGTGGCCATGCCCCCTGGGGGGTGATTTCTCATTTTCTGTCTCCTCTCTCTCTAGTGAGCACATATACCCTAAAGTAAAAATCTCTCCCACAGGGAAAACAAACAAAAAAAAAAACTTAGATTATTAAAGTAACTAGTATATACTAAATGAAATCCCTGTAGCATAAATGTGTAGTTTAACTGCATGAAACAGTGTGTCAGTTGTTCTAGGTGGCTATTGCTATTCTATAGTACTGGAATCAACCTCTCAATTACCATTATAAACAATATTAATTCAATATATAGCAATATTCGTGATAGAAAACATAACTTCCATTTAAAATGGTGATTCAAATGCATTTCTACTATACCCTTTCCCAAAATTTCAAAAGAAGTCTATAAAACAGACACCAGAGCCAGACAGGGGAGTGGTCAGACAATGCTCTACAGTAAGGGTCCCCAACCCTTGGGGGCTATGCAAAGTTCTGAAAGAACTGTTTCACTAAAATACTAGTAAAAATCATTTCTATTTTTGGACAATTCTAGTGGAACATAACACAGAGAGAGGACAAAAATTACATTAAAAATTTTTTAATCATGTTAAGATTTTCTATTCTTTTAACACAGAACAAGAACTTGAGCAGAATTATATACAAAAAGTTTTCTCCATGTGAACTGACATTGAGATTTTGTCTCAATTGTGTAACAATACCATAGGTAATTCAGCAAAAGAAAAGATTATGTATGCATGCATGCATACACACACACACACACAAAATTCAAGACTTTAGGAAAATCCTTTTCCCGTGTATACAATAAAATTCATTTCATTTAAGCCATGTGAATTGGCAGCTACTTAACTGTCCAACCTCTGCGTACTCAGGTAAATGTTCAATCTGAAATTTAATTTAAAAGCCTTTTAAAAATACAGACTGAAAATGAAGAATAAATTGATGCACTCTTCAGTCTAAATCACACTCTTTTTTCTATGTCAAGAAGTGTTGACAATATCAACTTCAAGGTCACTGTCAACTTAGAAAGTCATTATCAAATAAAATATGACTTAATTGAAGCAAACTCAGCATGGAGCTGCATTATTCTAAGTGAATGTGGCAATATAACCTGGAGAAGAATTACTAACTGCCACTCTCATTGACAATTAAATGAATGAAGACGGGGTTAGCAACTTTTATTCTACATCCTCCCATAATTAAATATGGAAATAGCATTTGTGAAGAATTAAAAGTCCCAAAGTGCATCAATTCAAACACTAATGGGCTGCTTTCCAGTGTGGCAGGACACAGGTAGCTCCCAGCATGTGATCATTAGCAAAGATGTCAGCATCATCATTCTGATCACAAAGCTTTGCTTATGAAATCTGCCTCAGAAAAATAGTTTCTAATGGTTACCTGGGATCTTCTAATAAGAGCTAAGATCAAACGTATCACTCAAAATGTTATACAAAATCACTTATACAGAATTTGTCTTTACAGATTAAATTTAACTAAGGTTCATTACTTATTGGCCAGAGTCTTATATAACTCTCAGTTCTATAAGCTTTATGAAATATCTTCGGCAGATGTTAATTCTCAAATTAGGAAATAACCACAATAATTACTCATCTATTGAATTATTTTCTGAATTTTCCGCTAATAATTATATGTGGAAACTGAGTCCATGCATAGTATTTTCTCAAAAGCAGCTAACCAGCTACATAGATTTATCATAAATTTGGATAGGAACTGAATTAACATGGGCCAGCAGATGGCATGGTGGTTGAGGCATTGGACTCCCACATGGCCAACTATGATTCAAGTCCTAGACTTAGTGGTTTGCTTTCTCTCTTTCTCTCTCTGATCAAACTGAATAATAATAAATTTTAAAATTAAATGAATAATCCTTTTAAAATATTTTTAAAAAGAACTGAATTAACATTATTATAGAATCACACTTGTAATAGTCTATGAAGAACTTGTGTTTTTCTGCAAGAGAAACTGAAAAAGACAAAGCCTTTGGGCTACTGAACTTTGCCCCCTACCTCTCATATTTCCCTAGAGGTAGGCTTCACAAATAATGCAATTTAATTCTAATTAAATTTTGCTGAATCTTCCTGAATATTAAGAACTACGTCTTTTGAGCCAACTATGTCTTTTGGGCCAACAGGTGGTATGGTGGTTAAGGTGTTGAATCCCCCATGGCCAACTCCTGAACGTTCAGGAGCAAGCAGAAAGAGGTGATCTGGAATCTCTCTGCCATTCTGTTGTGATCGCTTTGTGCCACAGATTCAGTGGATAGTGAGGAATATGTTAACCCTAATAGTTTTTGGATGTTTAGCTACAGTGCCCTTAGATCCATCTAGAAGCACAGTAAATGGATATTGAAGAGTGGAGAGACAAGAAAAAAGAAAATGAAAAAGAGAGAGAGAAACAAGAAAAAAAAATGAAAAAAATTATAATTATTTTTCTTTTTTTAAAAAAAGCACAAAATAGAAAACCGCATGGCGCACAAGCGTGCCATGTGAAATTACTAGATCACAGGAGCCATGAGGAATCTTTTCCTGAAGGCCTCACCTCTGCTGTCTGGGTTGGGAGGACCAGAGGGGATTATTAATAAGACAAAAGGCTGAGCTGAGAGCAAGAGAAAAATTTTACCTTTAAAAAAATTTTAAAAAGGAAAAAATGACAAAAAAAATGAGAAGACGGACACAGAGAGAGACAGAGACAGAGATGCAGAGACAGAGATAGAAGGCCAGAGGAGCTTCCTCCCACGCTAGCTTGTTTGCTGGAGACTGAAGTATCAGTAGGAAATCTTCATTTCTCTTTTACTGTGAAATGACTAGTTCGCAGAAGCCAGGAGGAATCTTCTCCTGAAGGCCTTGCTTTTCTGCCATGCTAGCTTGTTTGTTGGAGGCTGAATTTATCAGTAGGAAATCTTCACTTCTCTTTTACCCTGAAATCCACCTACCTATTTTCTAACCATAGTTTACTGCAGTAACTGAAGCCACAGAAAGCAAAACTGTAAAAGCTGGCAGGTGGCGTGGTGGTTGAAATACTTGACTCCCACATGGCCAACCATGGTTCTAGTCCCAGACCTGGCAGTTTGCTTTCTCACTTTCTTGCATGCTCTCTCTCGGGTTAAATTAAATAATAACAATAAATAAATAAATAATTTTTGAGAGGTTTTTCGCTATAGGGCACATGTGCTCGCCAGACAGAAAGAGACAGTGAGACAGAAAGCGAGAAATCACCCCCCGGGGGGATGGTCATGCCGCAATCCCTTCTCCTCCATTCTCCTCTCAGGATCTTGGGCATGCACGCACATGCACCCGGCGTGAGTTTTAAGCCACCGGGTCCGGGACACGAACAGCGGTCGACTACATGGGAGTCCAGCGACATAGCCATTACTAAGCTAACTGCTGGTTCCTGATAATAAATAAAATTTTAAAGTTAAAAGAAAAAGAAAGCAAAATTGCACCATGTTCTTTTGGCTTGAATTTAGTAAAGCCAGACATACTATCTGCTATGGTTTGAATGTCCCCACCAAAATTCATGTCAAAATGTAATCTTCATGAAATATCAAGAGGGTGTTCGCTTTACCCAACCATGGTTTCAGAGGTGAGGACTTTGGGAGATAACTAGAATTACATCAGGGTATTAGGGTGGGGCCGCCATAATCGAATACTGGTAGCTTTATGAAAGAGAGAGAGACTAGAACTGGCACGTACTCGTCTCTTCCCATGTGATGCCGTATCTGCCTCTTGATTCTGCAGAGTCCACACCGGCAAAAAAAACCCTCACAAGTATCTACCACCATGCTCTTTCAATTCCCAGCCTCCAAAGGCATAAGCCAAATTAATCTATATTCCCTTTTCTTTTTCTATTTTCTCTTTATGAGAGAGAAAGAGTGCACAGAAAGAAGGGAGAGAGAGATTTTTGACAGGGTTTCAACACATCGTGATCCTCCTTCCCCAGTCTCAAAGTAAATTGGGACCACAGGTACACACTGCCATGGCTGGCCTGTTTGGATTGAACTGGGAACTGAACCAGGGCCTCCTACACAGCCTCAGCCATTGCAAAGGAACACCCTTCCATTTGCACCACTGCAGCAGACCCTAGCGCTCGATTCTTTATAAATTACCCAGTTTATAGCATTCAGTTATAGCAACAGAAAAATGGGCTAAACCATCTATTTTCATTATCTGTATTTTAGATATCTCGTAATTTCACCTGGCTGAATGAAAGCTTGACTCAACTCTGATAAGGTTTGAAATTTTTAGATGAAATGGATCTACTATATTATGTTCGATATTTTAATCACAGAAAAGCTCCTTATATTTTTATTTACAATCATTTGTGCAATAAATAATGCTTATTAAAATCCCACATTTAAATTATTTTATGAATAAGATGCTATATTTTTCCTTTCAAATTCAGGAAAAAGTATCTATAAAAAATCTATGAAGAGAATATCTACATATAGTTATACGTTGTGGCAAGAACTTCTAATACTTTACGCCCGATTCATAAAATTTTATCTAGGCAGAAGTGTATCAGTAATATTTCCAGCCTCCTGGCAGTGAGTAAAGGTAGATTACTTTACTATAGCTCCCAGGCCTAGCCTACGATAACCTCCCACTCATAATCTTCCATCCTCTTCTGCCAGTTGGATGCAGATGACCAGGCCCGAGGGGATGACAGAAACATAAATGGGATAAGCCTGTGTACCTGAATCTCTACATAGAGGAAATTTGCTTATCAAAAAGGAATGCCCATATGAATGAATGGTTTAAAAAAAAAAAAAAACACAATTGCATGAAGCTACTGGGATTTGGAGATCTATTTGCCACCACAGTTAGTGTTATACTAAAACATCTACAGTTTTCCACTTGTCAATATGAAATGCATTATACTTACAAATTGAGGTTTATAATATGCTGGACCTAGTGTGCTGTCATTATCCGGTGGAAAACACTTTATGATACTGCCATCCTCATTAATATGATAGCCATATGACTGTCCATAAGAAGGTATTGAAGGAACATCAAAATGTCTGGTAACTGTAAGTGCTCTTGAAATTTTCTGTAAGGAAAATATTTTATATTGCTTACTCAAAGACAAGACAGGGAATGGAAAACAAATGTTAAAATTTACAAAAAGCAACTATTAAATACTGATTTGTTGAGTTTTATAATATAAATTTAAAATACTTGTTTTCTAGAAGTAAATTAAATAGGGATGAGCAAATGGCATAATGGTTATGTCGCTGGACTCCCATGTAGTCAGCCATAGTTCAAGTCCTGGACCTGGTGGCTTGAAACTCACGCTGGACATGTGTGTCTGATGCCCCAAATCCCAAGAGGCGAATGGAGCAGAAGAGACTGTGACATGGCCATCTCCCTTAGGGGGCAGGAGGAGATGCTTTCTCATTTTCTGTCTATTTCTGTCTCTCTGGCGAGTACATATACACTATACCAAAATCTCTCTAAAAAATAAAAAGTAAATTAAATATGTAAATTCAAGTTTTGTCTCATCTTATAAATGAAAAAATATACACCATTATTATTAATGCTACCATAAAAAGCAAGAATTCTCTCCTATTTGGGTCAGTTATTTATCTCACTTTGTAAAGGAAATATTA